AGCTTTAGATTTCTAATACAGATTTTGGGTTGTTTCAGGGTATGTGCATTTTTGTAACTACAGGACTACATGAAATTATATTTTACCCTTAACGTTTTTTAGTATTTAGCATTTCTTCTCAATTAAGTAGCACAAAAATTTAGCTTTAGCTGAGGATATATGGTCTCAATTCTGATAAAACTGGGCCCAGGACATTCCCCTGTTTCAGGAAACATATGCCTACTTGTTCATAAGCAGCACCTAAAAATGCAGATTCCTGGGCCCAACATAAAGATTTATCTTTATATTCTGTTCATCCTATGGTGGTCCACACAGTAAATATTAAGAAACATTACCTACAAAATTTCTCAAAATGTGATACTAAGACCAAAAGCATTAGAATCACCTGTGAACTTACTAGAACCGTTAATTCAGGAGCTCCACTCCACCCAGCACTACCAAATCAGAAATTCTGGTGATGGGGCCTAGGAAACCATTTTTAACAAACTCAACAGTGATTCTTTCTTCTATCACCACATTACAACTTGTAATGTTTTTCCTTCAACTTTTGATACTCTCTGTAGGAACTGGTTATGTAGTAAGCAATATGAGCACTGGACAAATCCCAGGTTAGTGATGATTATTAGAACTACTAGCATCTTCACACCATGTTGAGAACCAGGGATTATATCCTGACAGATAAAATTGCAATTTTGAGTTTATAAAATAGAATGTTTTATATATATACATATATACATGTTTTATATATATATGTATACATATATACACACACACACACACACACACTTTTTTAAAGATTTGATTTTATTTATTTGACAGAGAGAGACACAGTGAGAGAGGGAACACAAGCAGGGGGAGTGGGAGAGGGAGAAGCAGGCTCCCACTGAGCAGGGAGCCTGATGTGGGGCTTGATTCCAGGACCCTCGGATCGTGACCTGAGCCGAAGGCAGACACTTAATGACTGAGCCACCTAGGTGCCCCCAGAATGTTCTATATATTAATATCTTGAAATTTCCTTCTTGAGGGCCTAAGATTACAAGCCCTCTGCTGGAGTTAAATTTGTCTAAGTTACAAGTGCTTATAATGTGACTTCAATAAACATAGAGAATTCCACTTTTTAAAGCTGGCATTCATCCAGAAAAAATAATGTGCATGCTTACTTTACTTATAGACATATAAATAAAAGAAGTGATAATTCTTTAAACTTTTATTTTTCTAATCTGTACTATTTTCCTCTACTCTAAGTGCTTTCATTACATTCTTAAATATATTTTCATGTAATGTGTTGTTTTAAATTTACATAAATAGTACTGAATTAAAATCTCACTTTTTTTCTTTTCTCTCAAGTGTATATTTTAACCGTATCCAGTTTTAAAGATCTCACCATTGTTACTTTTACCTGCTGCATTGGTATTCTACAGCATACTACCATTCATTTTTCTCTTTCCTTTTTTTGGGGGGGGGAGGGGCAGAGAGAGAGAGAGAGAGTGAGAATCTTAAGCAGGCTCCAACCCAGCATGGAGCCCCATTCTGGGCTCACTCTCACCACCCTGAGATCATGACCTGAGCCAAAACCAAGAGCCAGACTCTTAACGGACTGAGTCACCCAGGTGCCCCTCTTTCATTTATTTTTTAGAGGATTTCTGCTTTGTTTCTGTTATTGTATAGCAGTTCTTTCTACATTATAGGTATTATTCTCACGTAGGTTTTAGATATTAAAAAACTGACATTTGACCTTTCACATCAATGTATGGTACCTATAACAGAAATACTTAATTTTGATGTAATCAAACCCACTAATTTTCACATTATGTTCTCTGTTCCTAAAATACAGATATTCTCTGAAATTTCTTATGAGCTTTGACATCTAATGTTTCTTTTTTTTTTTTTTTTAAAGATTTATCTATTTATTTTAGAGTACAGGCAGGCACACACAAGTGGGAGGGGGCAGGGGGAGAGAATCCTCAAGCGGACTCCCTGGGGAGTAAGCAGCCCAATGCAGGGCTCATCCTCTAAGATCATGACCTGAGCTGAAACCTAGACGTGGATGCTCAACAGAATGAGCCACCCAGGTGCCCCCCAATTTTACATTTTTTGAGTTTATCATGTGTAAGGTAGTAATCCTGTTTTTTTCTACAAATAGCTAGCTCTCCTAATAAAATCTAGGCACCTATCTGCTTTAAGCAATCTGCTTCTTACTGCCTAGGGGTGCCACTTAATCAAGTTCTCATATATACATGAGGTGTTTTGTTTTTTTTTTTAACTCATTAATTTATTCCAGTGTATTTGGTCTTTCTTTTGCTAGCATCATACTGTTTTCATTATTATAACTTTGTAGTAATCCTCACTATCTAATAGGTCCAGTACTTCCTTCCTCTTCTTTATTGAAAGTGACTTAATCTTGGACCATTATTGGTAAATGTTAATTTTAGAATGAGTTTGTGAAGTTTCTCACACACACACAAAAAAAGTCAGGATAGAATTTTTAACAGGAGACAGTGACATGATAGATTTAGAGAAACAGGCATCACTAGGTTAATATCGTACATGATAATCTTTTGTCTTTTAATAGTTAGTTATCTCCCATGAAGGTTTTATGCATTCCTAATCAGGTTAATCTTTGTTATGCTATTTTTTTTATTATGTTATGTTAATCACCATACATTACATCATTAGTTTTTGATGTAGTGTTCCATGATTCATTGTTTGCATATAACACCCAGTGCTCCATGCAGAACGTGCCCTCTTTATTACCCATCACCAGGCTAACCCATCCCCCCACCCCCTCCCCTCTAGAACCCTCAGTTTGTTTCTCAGAGTCCATAGTCTCTCATGGTTCATCTCCCCCTCCGATTTCCCCCCTTCATTCTTCCCTTCCTGCTATCTTCTTCTTCTTCTTTTTTATTCTAACATATAAAGTATTATTTGTTTCAGAGGTACAGGTCTGTGATTCAACAGTCTTACACAATTCACAGCACTCACCATTGTTATGCTATTTTCTAAGTGGGTTACTAATGGTATATAGCAGGGGTCAGAAATTTATGGCTCACAAGCTAATTCCAGTTTGCCGTATTTTTTTTGTAAATAAAGTTTTACTGGAACACCCATTTAGTGACATAATGTCATAGCTTGAAAGCAGCTATATTGGTAGAGTTTAGTTGAGTCAGGTACCATATGGCCCACAAGCTGAAAATATTATCTGGTTCTTTATAAAAAAGGCTGCTGACCTCTGGGTATAAAAACATATTAATTTTTTATAATACATTATATGTTAAAAAAAAAAAGAAGATAGCAGGAAGGGAAAAATGAAGGGGGGGGAATCGGAGGGGGAGACGACCGATGAGAGACTATGGACTCTGAGAAACAAACTGAGGGTTCTAGAGGGGAGAGGGGTGGGGGGATGGGTTAGCCTGGTGATGGGTATTAAAGAGGGCACGTACTGCGTGGAGCACCGGGTGTTATATGCAAACAATGAATCATGGAACACTACATCAAAAACTAATGATGTGATTAACATAATTTAAAAAATGAGATAAAAACATTAATTTTTATAATTTTTTAAAAGATTTGAGAGAGAGAGCATGCATGAGTGGGGGAAGGGGCAGAGGGAGGAGGAGACTCCCCACTGAGCAGGGAGCTAGACATAGGGCTTGATCCCAGGACCCTGGGATCATGACCTGAGCCAAAGGTAAATGCTTAACCGACTGAGCCATCCAGGAGCCCCTAATTTAACAAATTTAGGCTTAGAGAATCTTGCTGAATTTTCTCAGATTTAGTAGTCTGCTGATGGGTTTTGGGTTTTACATAGATGACTATATCATATGCAAGTAGTGAATTTTTTTCTTTTTTTTAACTTCCAATTCTATTTGGTTTGTGTTCAAAATTTCTCAATATAATGTTTGCTACAGACTTTGGGTATATGGACTTTATTGAGTTAGGAGAATTTCCTTTTTTCTTAGTTTCCAGAGAGTCTTTTCATACACTGACACTAATTTCAAAAGAAAAAAAAATTTTTTTTTGTATTCTAATAAACTATCACTGGGCAATTTATGACATTCTATAACATGGTATTAGGCACATTTTATAGTAAGTAGATACTTAACTTTTCATGCTTTGAAATATGGGTTTCCTAGTACTCTGGGTGATTTAGTGAAGAATGGAACTCTTAACTACTTCAGCACATTTCTAGCAGTGCTTTCATTCACCAACATTTATTGTGATATGGTGATAGAAGAAAATAACGTTTTATCTTTCTAGTGAAAAATCAATAATCTTAGGTAGAAAAGATCTCTAAATCCTTAGAACTCAAGGTACTTATCAAGGCACAAGCAACTTTGAAATTTCAAAGTACTATATAACTATAACAAGTACTTAATCTAAAGATAAGCTAGAAAAAAAAAACAGTCGTTCTGATCTAAAGACTAAAAGTAAATATTCACAAAGAAAACATTTCTAACTTCTAAAACTTCATCAATCAAGAAATTTACATGATTCTACCATGTGCTTTTTAATATCTTCTTAAACTAAGTTCTACCCTTAAATCCTAAGTGGAGTAATAATAAAATGTAATTAATATACTTAGTAAAGACTCATAAAAAATTTAAATGAAAAAACTTCACCTAAGATAAAAAGGATAGAGAACCACTCATTAAAGGTGAATTTTAGTTTTTGGTTGTTTTTTTCAAGGAACATTTAATAACAAGGTAGATAACATATACTTATTTAACTTGGTACTTTTATAACACTGAAGCTAAAGCAAAACATCCTGTTCATTGGGTAAAAACGGCCTACTTAATGTGTGTACACTGGAGTGCAATTTAAACAAATACTATAATTATAATTTCAGAACTTCAGAATTTTAGTGTCAGTGTTCTTTTTTTCATAAGGGAAAAGAAAATGCTTTTGAAAGTCACTTGAAGCTTGGACAAAAATTTCAGAGCTCTTCTTAGGACCACTTTGTAGAGTCTTCATGATTCAGTTGACACAAGGGAAGTTTCAATTCAGCCTTTTCAAGAAGACATTCCAGCTTTCATGATCTCATCAACCAGGAGAATGTTGGTGGCAATCACAATGCAGGACTGTGTAAGGCTATTCTTTACAAGATAGTTATCCCATATGTCTACATCGGCTGCCACCACTGGCTCACCTGTGTTCAAGTCCACACCCACAAACTGACCTGATTCTGAATGTTCTGCTTGAACTTGTGTTTCCTGAAGGTCAAAACCAGAGTTCTGAGCAAGAACCTTGGGAATAATGAGCAATGCATCAGCAAATGCTTGTACTCCACGTTGGGCCCTGCCCTTTACACTGGGCTTATATTTAATCATGGCTTTTGTTATTGCCACCTCCACTGCCCCAGCACCTAGAACTACAAAGCCATCAACAGCATTTTTAACAGCCCTCAAACCATCCCTTACTGCATCTTTGATTTGAGTGAGTGTGTGCTTATTTGGCCCTTTGACCAGTAATATGATGGAGTGAGGATTGTTATATTTTTCAATAAAGGTGAATTTCTCTTCTCGCAATGTATACTCACAGACAAGTCCTGCATGTCCAAAACAATCAGGATTTAGGTCATCAAAAGAATTTAGAGCTACTCCGCCACAAGCAAGAGTCAGCCTTTCCATATTTCTCCTTTTAACTCTATGCAAGAGCATCTAAGGAATAGGGGTCAATTCCCTTTTGAATGAATCCTTTATCTGAATCACACAGACTTTCTTTTTCAGTTCTATTATTTTTTAACTCTATCTTCAAGGAATTTTTTTTCAGCTTTTTCAAGTTCCTCTTCTTCTGAACTCTTATAAAAAAAGAATTCACTTCTGTTTTTTCATATTCTAATGACACAGTGCACGTGAGGATGTATGCATCTTCTTCTTTTTTTTTTTTTTTTCATATCAGGATGTGTGCCCCATGTCTAAACAAGACCTCTGATTAAGCTTTTATCAGTTTCAGATTTGTTTCATTTCCATGATCTCAAACATTAAAAGGTCAATAGGTTAACCTTGTGTTTAATGACCAAAATGAAGTCCATTACAGCTTCTATTAAAGTATCAGGAAGTTCAGCATGTACTTTAGGAGGTAGAGATGTTCTGGCCACATTTGTAAGTGTCTCCCAGTCCATTTCTTTGCTTACTTTCACTTGTTCCAAAAACTGAAGTGCCTTTTCCTTTGCAGTTTCAAGTCCTTCTGTTATTATTCTGGGATGAAGACTTTCAGAAATGTAGAAATCCACCTACAGTAGCTACTTTCAGTAGCTTTCCAATGATTAAGACATTGGAAGTGGTACCATCACCAGTTATGTCATCCTAGGTTGTTGCCACTTTGGCTATTAAGGAGGCTGTTGGGTGTTGAATTTGCATTTCATGAAGCAGCATATTGCCATCTTCAGTAAGCCTGATGTCTCCAGCACCAGAAACAAGCATCTTCATGGTGCCCTTAGGCCCCAAGTTGGTCCTCAGCATGTCCTGCAGCCCCTGGGCCGCACTGATGTTAACCTCCAGTGCCGCCTGGGCTTGGGCCACCTTGGCCTTGAGGTTCAGGGTCTTCATGGCCACCATAGCTAACCAGAACAGGAAGAAGAGAGGACACCTGGTGTGCAGAGTGCCCAAAGCTGGCTCAGCGTGGCCATGCATTTCAGTTTTAAAGATCAGTTTTCTTTTATTTGCTAGGTTGGCAATTAATAAAAAATTATTTTTAATTTATTCAAGAATCATTATTTTAAGGATTTCAAAATATAGGTTTACAATCCCTTATCAGAAAATCTGAAATTCCAAAAGCTCTGAAAATTTAAAAATTATTTTATAATTCACTTGAGGGCAATCTAGCCTAAACTGATATGAAACTATTTATTGTCCTTTAAACTACTTAAGTGTATTTGCTAAATATTAATGTGTTTGATTAAGAGAGTCCCCCTGGACCCCACAGATATATTAAAATAAGAGATGGCATATGCACCATATTACTTTTCAAAGGTTTGAGAAGTTTGAAGTTGAAATACAACTAGCACTAAGTATTTTTGATAATGGAGTGTAGATCTTATCATTCTAAAACCATTAAAATGATTTTCTCCCATTCTGTATGTTGTGTTTTCACTCTGTTTATTGTTTCTCTTACTGTGCATAAACTTTTTAGTTTGATGTAGTCCCATTTGTCTATTATTACTGCTTTCATTGCTTGGGTTTTGGTGTCATATTCAAGAAATCATTGCCTGGATAGGCATGATGATGCTTTTTCACTAAGATGTCTTCTAGGAGTTTTATAGTTTCAGGTCTTATTTTTAAATCTTTAAGCTATGTATTTGATAAAGGTTTAATATCCAAAATATATAAGAAATTCCTATAATTCAATGGCAAAAAACCCAAATAACCGGATTAAAAAGTGGCATACAAATGGTCCACAGGTACAGATGCTCAACATCAGTAATTATTGGGGAAATGCAAATCAATCCACAATGAGATGTCACCTCATATCTGTTAGGCTGGCTATTATCAAAAGAACAAAAGATAAGAAGTGCTCTCAAGGATGTGCAGAAACTGGAACACTTACTTGTACACTGTTGGTAGAAATGTATAATGATGTGGCTTCTATGGAAAACAGTATGAAGGTTCCTCAAAAAATTAAAAATAGAAGTACCATACAATCCAGAAATCTCACTTCTGGGTATATATCCAAAGGAAATGGCATCATCACAAAGAGATACTACACGCCCATGTTCACTGCAGTACAATTTACGATACCAAGATAGGGAAACAACCTAAATGTCCACTGATGGATGAATGGATAAAGAAAATGTATATACATGCAATGAAATATTATCCGGACTTCTTTTTTTTTTTTTTTTAAGAAAGTAAGTCTTTTTTAACGAAGGAGATCTTGCCACATGTGATAACATGGATGAACCTGGGGGACATTATATTAGGTAAAATAAGCCAATCATAGAAAGACAAACTCTACCTGATTCCACTTATATGAGATATCCAAACTAGTCAAATACTCATAGAAACAGACACTACAATGATGGCTGCTAGGGGCCAGGGGAAGGGAGAAATGGGAAATTACTGAGCAATGGGAATAAAGTTTCAGCTACATAAGATGGATAGACTCTAGAGATCTACTACACAACAACGTGCTTACAGTTAACAATACTGTATGGTGCACTTAAAAATTTGTTAAGAGGGTAGATCTCAAGTTAAGGGTTCTTACCATGTTAAAAAAAAAGTTAAAAGATTTCTAATTCTTTCATCCCTCGTTTACCATCAGAAGCAATTCTTACACTCCTCTATCTCTATTTGTGCTTTTATATTCTAAAACATTTAAATAAATAAAAATATTGCTTTCACATCAGATTCATTTTGATAGAGTATTCTTTAACAGATATGTTAAAAAAACACAAAAAGCTTGAAAAATATTAAACAAAATGCTTAATAGTGATTTGACGTATTAGACAATGCAACATAATATTTACAACATATGTACACTATACCTTATTCTAAAAGAGATTTGATTTGGAAGGCTTTAAATTATAGCATATTAATTTAAGTACAAATTCACGTAACTTCTATACTGAGAATATTAAAATATTAAGTAGGTATATATACTTGTAACATACAATTAGCTATCTTCTATCATTCTGGATTTTGTTATCTGAAATCAAAGCCTTCAAAACATGCAATCAGCCATAAAAAGTGGGAGCAACACTTACTTAGGAGCAGAAGGACCCCTTGGCCATGTTCCATCTTCATTTTTCTGTTCTATCACCAACACCTGTAAATATGACACAATAGAAGAGTGTTTTTCCTTAAAAAGTTACAGTTAAAATAGCTTTAGAAGATTAGCTGGATACACTATGAAACTAAAGTAAATCTGGAATTATTTAAAGGACAGAGTAGACTAGGTGAAGAGGTATTTGCATTTGGATGCCAAAGCTGGGCAATATAAATAGAATATACATTCCTTGAGTTCGGGGAATATGTTTTCTACTTCTTTTCTATTTGCAGGCTGTAACATAGTACTATGCAAAAAAACCCAGATGCTCAATAAATGGTCACAGTTGTTAAAAATACTGATGTATAATCTTGGCTAACTATTATTACGCAAATCCTGAAAAACAGTGACACAGATAATTCCAAATTACAGATTATATATAATTTATTTGGGGCTTTAAAATTTGCCTTCATTTACATTATTACTATGTAAATTACAGAATCTTTTAATATATAAATGATAGAGCCACATTTGTGAGAATCAGATTCAAGTTCCTTACTACAGCATGGTTAAGGCAGAAAGCAACTCTAATAAATGTAAAGTACAGGGCAAGGCAGAGCTATGCTTTATTCTAAAATATCACAGAATCCTTCCTCTTATCTTCTTGTTTAAAAAAGCCTTTTTTCCAGTTTTTGCTATGGGTGAGTCTGTGCAAAGAAAAAAAACTAAGCAAAAATAACTAAATAAGCAAAAGAAATATGTGATAATGTCAATAAGAAGTTAATAACCAAATTTCCACGGGAGAACTATAACATAAAAACATGCCGTGAAATAAATTCAAGGCATTACAAATTTGAATACATTCTAGATATTCACTTTCAACTCTTTTTCTTAAAGTTTCAATTTTGTAACCTATTCGACATAGTCTTGTAAAATACTTTTGCGGACTGAATGTTTCAGGCCATTTATAAGTTGGCATTTGGATCCTAACCATGTAAAATATAAGCCTGTTTCAGAATACACACAACGAATGATAAAAGTGATCAACAGAAAAATTCATGGAACCAGCTTGTTCAAAGAGTACGCTAATTAAAATATTAAAGTTATCAGAGAGGGAGACAAACCATAAGAGACTCTCAATCATAGGAAACAAACTGAGGGTTGCTGGAGGGGAGGTGGGTGGAGGGATGGGGCAAGTGGGTGATGGACATTGGGGAGGGTATGTGTTGTAATGAGCACTGGGTATTATATAGGACTGATGAATCACAGACCTGTACCCCTGAAACAAATAATACACTTTTTGTTAATTAATTGAATTTAAATAAAAAAGGAAAAACAAATTACTATTTCCTACATTCAAAGAATATGTATGAAGTATACATAGCATATAAAGAACACTAAGTACTTACTATTCTAATCCCTCCCTAATCATATTCCTCTCCCTACCTATCCCATACAATTAATCATTCTCAATTTTCTGATATCACTCTGATATAATCATATATTTATGTATTTTTATAGATTTATAAAATTGAATTTAGTGATTTTTAACTGCTGAAGAGTCTTCCATTACCCCAACTTATTATCTAGATATGAACTACATATATATAGAGAGAAAACATGCCTTGAAGTACATTTAAAGCATTACAAATTTGTGTGTGTGTATATGTATATATATATACATATACACACACTTCATACTATGCACATGTATGTGCATATATATAAACTTGTCATTTGGAAGACAAATCAGTTACAAAATGAAAGACTTTAGTTACAAAGAATTTCAAAGTTATGCATTTAGTATCATTACTTGTAGTTTGCTTTTTAATAGAAGGTCCTAAAACTGAAGAATCAAATAAATGTATAAAATTGAACCATAACAATTTAATTACTAATAGTATGTGTGTTAAAATTTCATGTTTTTACAATCACAGATATTAATGTTGAAGGCCATAAGAAATGTTAATATTCACTCCTTTATTCAAATTCTGAATGAAGTTTTGCTCATGGTTAAAACTTTCAAGATGAAAAAAAAAACTTTCAAGATGAGAATTTTCTTAGAAAGTTTTCAAAATTAAATTAAATGTGTGTGTGTGCGCGCGCACACACACACACACTTAAGGGAAGAGAAAGAGATAAAGACCACCATTTTGGGAGGGAAACTCTTCAATAATGTATCTGTTTTATTTTCTGATGTTTCATTTTACTTTAATTTCAGTAAAAAATTTAAAAAGTCTAGGACAGGGGCACCTGGGTGGCTCAGTTGGTTAAGAGTCTGACTCTTGACTGAGGCTCAGGTCATGATCTCAGGGTTGTGAGACTGAGCCCTGAGATGGGCTTTGCGCTCAGTGTGGAGTCTGCTGGAGATTCTCTTTCTCTCCCTCTGCCCCTCCCCCTGCTCGCTCTTGCTCTCTCTCGAAAATAAATAAATAGATCTTAAAAAAAAAGTTCAGGATAATGTTTAGTTCATTTATCATCAGTCAGAAAATAACTTGCAAAATCTGGAAAATTTAAAGCATGTTCTTTGAAACATTCTTATTTTGAAAGATCAAATGTTAGTAAGGATATTTAACCTTCTTCTTATTAAAATAATTTACTGTCACCTCCAATCTGATAAATGCATTCCTATTAAAAACATCAAATTACTTACATTCTCTAAGCCTCAGTTTTCTAATGCATGTGATGGATAGAATAAAAACCATTACATAGGTTCAATCACTGAAAAGTTTTAAAGAAATGATTCTATGTATTCCAAGCTGTACTCCTGGAACTATCTCAAGACCTACAGATGGTAACTAAGGAGTGAAAGAGGGAACTAGCTGGCTAAGGAGCGGGGTGTTAACTAACCGTGAGAGTTCCGAGTTCCTTACTCCAGTTTAATCAGCTTAGCTCAAATTTTGATTATAATACGTAGTACTTTTTGCAAGATTTCATTTAAGACTATAATAGCTAAAATAAGTCTGAAAATAACTGTTCTTATTTTTTTTTTAAAGATTTTATTTATTTGTCAGAGAGAGAGAGAGCACAGCAGGGGGAGCAGCAGCAGAGAGAGAAGCAGGCTCCCCGCCGAGGAAGGAGCCATGCAGGACTTGATCCCAGGAGCCTGGGATCATGACCTGAACCGAAGGCAGCCGCTTAACCAACTGAGCCACCCAGGTGTCCCATGAAAATCACTGTTTTTATAGCCTAATATGATACATGACATATAGTAGACATTTACTAAAAATTAATTTCCTCAGTTGTTCTGGATTTTTTTCACAACTTATATCATAATACTGATGTCAATAATTTTTTAAAAGATTTTATTTATTTGCGAGAGAAAGAGACAGGGGAAGGGGCAGAGGAAGAAGGACAAGCAGACTCCCCACTGAGCAGGTGGCCAGATGCAGGGCTCGATACCGTAACCTGAGATCATGACCTGGGCTGAAGTCAGACGCTTAACTAACTGGGCCACCCAGGCGCTCCTGTCAATAATTATTTTTAATAAAACAGAACAAAATAAAAATCTCCATATATCAGAGGACCAGGCTCTGTGTTAGATACTAAAAATAAAAACAAAAATAGACACAAAGTCCAACTAAAACAAGGAACTCAAAGTCTAGTGGAGAAGCTCAACATATAAATAAAGTACATAATGAATGACACAAAAGACATATACATAAATCATTATGAAGTTAAGGGAGTAATTTTTTCTCCAAAGTAGAAAACTCATTATGCCTTAAAGACATATTGAGAAAAACAGATCAGGAAAGGCTGAAGAGATGATGTGACATTTGAACTGGAATCTGAAGAATGAAGAATGAACAATCTGATCTGATTAGACTACATGATAGAATGGAATGGTTAATTTGAATATTTTGATGTTTTAAAAGGACTTTTTTTGCTGGATGGATGCAGGTATTGGGAAGAAGGGTACAACAGGCAGATGGAATAACACAGATGAAAGCATAGGAGTTGGGAATAGCATAGTATGCTTAGGGAACTATAAGCAGTTCAGTTTGGTATTGTATGAATCATTGTATAAATCATGAGGCAAGTATAATCTAAAGATGCTGAAGACTAGCCACAAGGTCAAACCTTGACTTGCATGCTGTGTTAAGGTGCCTGGACTTTATTCTACAATTGTTAGGGAATCAGGAAAGGTTTACAATAAAGAAACATTGAGGTTTACATTTTAGAAAGAGTGTTCTAACAGAAATACGGAAGACTGAGAATGGACATACAAAAGACTAGACGCAGAGGGACCTGTTAAGACACTACTGAAAGGGCAGAGAATGGAATAAAGAGATTAATTCAAGAAGTATTTAGAGGGTAGAATCAGTAGGACTTGCTGATTATGTCTAAATGTCTTCATTTCTTAACACATTCATTTCTTTGGATTATAAAGAAAGACCAAATTGGAGGTTGATACCTTACCAGGGCCTGGCAAACTACTGTTCACTTAGCTCACTGACTGCTTTTGTAAATGAAGCCTGTTGTTTACGTATCGTCCATGACTTTTGTGTTATTACAATGGAAGAGTTGTAGTTGTAACAGAGACCATGCGGGCTACAGAGCCAAAAATATTTACTACTTGATTCCTTATAGAAAGTTTGCTGACCCATATTATTATATTAGCTGTTTTATTGATGGAACATAATTTTTTTAAAAACTAGGTTATTCTCAAGCTCAAGGAGGGAAGCAAAATTTACTGCTAGTGATCAGCAGGAATAGGGAAGAGATGAGTTAGAAAGATGAAGCCAGAGACAGTAGAACCCATTATAGATTGTCAAGATATTCATAAAGTTTGTGACTCCAAAAAGCTTCATGTATAGTATACTTAAAATAAACAGTATTGCTAAACAATACCTGTCCTTGGTATAAACCAGCATCCTGAATGGTGCTGTCTGGTTTATTCAGTGGTTCAAATGTATTACTCATGTATTTGTTCCACAATCTGGTCTCCTTTTCATCTGGAATATTGAAGATTTTTCTTATTTCCTTTTCAATTGTATCTAGATTTAAGGAGGAAAGATATATAAATATAATAAATATTTAAAAATATACCACACATAGCTAAGTGCTCACCAGCATAAAAATCCTAAATTTAAAATACTGATATAATAGCAAGAATAGATGAACAAATATGTAGGACATATATAAAGAACAATAAAGACAATCTGGTGTGCTTTTTAGGAACAAAATAGTAATTATAACTCTGACAGATAATTACTTGGGAAAACTAAGATCTCGCAAGGGAGAAGAGTTCAATCACATAACACCACAGTATAATTTATATTATACAGGATGACCTTTAACTTTTTACACACTATAAATTCAACGTATCTTCTGATGATATGTTGGATTTAGAAACAGTATGAGTCAGAGATGCTGTAGATAGAAAATATTTTTAACTGTAATATAAGCAATCTTAGGATAATTTATATTAAACTGAATATTATTTACAGTTTGAATAGTTTACTAAAATTAAATAGAATATATGGACATAAAGGGAAGTGCCTTCTTTGAAGGGATGTCTGTATTGGTAAAAATTTGTTTTCACAGTAAAACTATATATTTTCCTTATTTCTAAATCATTTATGTGAGTGGAAAAAGCCTTTTTTAAACTGGAGCAGCTTAACTTGCTATAAAGTAAGACACAGGAGTACCCACATACTGGAGAGTAGAGATGTAATTAAGTTTCAGTGCCACAAAGTTAAATGAATCTTTAAAATTTTTAAACATGAGAAAGAGACATTAGAAAATATTGTTAAATCTACTGAATTCTGGTTAATAACTTGCCTGCCTATCTTAGACTCAAGAAAACAGTAAAACACCTAATGACATACGAAGAATTATAAAATACTTCTACAATTTAGAATACTTGGTTAGTTTTGGAAAGAAACATTAAAATACTAAACCTAATAACACATGTTGTCTAAAGAAATCCTACATCATTAAATCCTACATCACTAAATTCAGTCTAATAACACTGTTTATGCCCTATTTAGCAGCTGAAGTTCTTTAATAGTCATAGTCAATGAGATTTTGATTAAGGTATTAAATAAATAGGAAATCTTAAGGTGGATCTGAAAACTTAAGAGCAAATTAGCCAGAATATTTAAATAATTACATAAAATATACTAACAGTACTGCTTTCTATTTTGGTGGATTTTTTTTGTTGTTTTTATTGAAGTGTAAATGCACAGGTCATTAGTACGTAATGATAAATTTCCAAAGCGGACACACCCATATAACTAGCACACAGATCAAGAAACAGAACATTATGTAGGAAGGAGGCTAGAGGAAGAAGCTGAGGAAGGGAGGTCATTTTAGTCTTTCTAATAAAAATGAATACTTTTTTCCTGATTGCATAAATAATTCTTGCTCATTGCAAAAATTTAGAAAATATAAATAAAATGTCTATAGAGAGAGCCATTAACATTTATTTCTTCTTTCAGACACTTATCTATTAATATACAACAGATACTTACATACATAATACAATACACACAGACACATATGGGAATTTCCTCTTCATTGAGTTTTGCAAACTACTCACATATTGGGGAAGAATATTAGAGGCAGAAGAAAGGAGTGCAAAAGGCCCTGAGGTGGGAATGTATCTGGCCTGTTTTAGAACAGCATGGTGCAGCAATGTGGCTGAAGTGAAATGAACAAGGTAGAAATGAGACCTTTATATAGACTCTTGTGAGCTATGAAAGTATTCTGTTTTATCTGAGTAATAAGAGAAGCAATTGAGTTTTGAACAGAGAAATGGAATGATTTAACTCACATTTTTGCTGCTAGTGGAAAACTGCAGGATGTTAAGGGTAGGAGACTAGGCTTCTGCAGCGATCAAAACTAAGGGAGAAGCAATGTTAAGTGGTCAGACTGAGAAGAGATTTTGAAGAACTGCTTAGAAGATATGGTGCTAGATTACACGCAGGGTGAAAAACAAAAGAGAATCTGAATGATACCAAGGTTTTTAGCCTGAGCAACTGAAAGAATACAAGTGGTGATCACTCAGATGGGGAAGAATGACAGGCAGCAGGTTTCTGGAGGGGAAGGACAGACTTTAGTTTCATACATGTTATATCTTAAGATTCCTATCAGACAGAAGTAAAGCTATGAAATGACTGAAACTGGAAATAAGGGAGAATTCTGGGCAGGAGATATAAATTCAAAACATATCAATATGCAGAAAGCAAAAAGCTAGGGCACCGAAGGAAATCACAAAAGAGGAAATTAAAGGACTACGCATGGCAACACCCTGATGTTTTGAAATCAGGAATATGAAGAGGATGTTTTCAGATTTTCTGAGAAGATGCAGGCAGTGAAAACTTGTGCCATGGAAGCCACGTAAATAGAAGTTATTTCTAGATGGAAAAGTGAATATGTTAATTTTTGCTGGCAGGTTAAGAAAATGGAAGACTGAAACTACCATTAGATTTATCATTGTGAAAGTAATTAGAAACCATCATAGAAGCAGTGCCAAGGAAGTGGTAGGTTTGGATGTCTGATGTAGCAGGGTCAAGCGAGAATGGGAGCAGAGTAAATGGTAGCCAGAAAGCAGGATGTTTAAATTGAGATCTGCCATGTGCAGTTATAGATAATGACAGGCTAGGGTATAGCTAGGGAATTAATGCCTGAAGTTGGATACAGATTAAGATCACTTGAGTTGAGAATCTCAAAGTATTGAGAGTGTGTGTAGATTTTTCCATGTATGAATCTGACTCCATTAGGCAGTTAAATGAAAGCTTACAGAGTTAGAAAAATATTATTCATATAATAAAAATAAAATTGTTGTGACAAAATTTCTAGTAAGAATATTTAGTAAAGTTAAGCACTTCTATTAATAAATTTTATATAAACAAAGTATTTTTCAGTAAGTTTTACAACAAAAATTATTTTTTCAGTGTATCCTTAAAGAAAAAATAAAAAATCAAATTTTATATTTCTTATTGGAAGATGTTCTATACCCAAATATGTCAATTTAAGGAGAGAAATACTCAAAGGCAAGATATTTTGGCTCTGAATGAGGTTAATTATTTAGATCCTGCCTATGGCAACTATAAAGTCAGTGTAGGTAGTATTAGCTGAAGATGACACATTTTATTAACTTGGCAAAAACAGAAAACGGGTCCTCCTATTTCTTAATTCTATTTATACAACATATAGCTATGTTTTATGTATGTAAGTATTTGGATCATTTTTAATTAAGATGAGACCACAAGGGAAAAATATACATCCCATATCTCCTTTCTTATTATCCCAATATTTTATTATTTCTACAGTCATTTCCTTTAGAAAAACAAAATCAGCCCAATTAACTTTTGCACAGATTGTATAACGCAGCAACTAAGAGATGAGACGGTGTGTTCAAATAAGGACTCTCACTTGGAACAAGGGTGAACCTAAGTAGTTATTTAACCTTCCTAAGCCTCGACTTCATTCTCTAACCAAAGAGGATACAGTATTGTTGAGGTTTAAATAAGAAACTTTCTAAGAAGTGCCAAAAACATAGTAAGTATTCCACAATGGCTAACTACTATGATAACTATAATCATGAAGTCTCTAAAATTCCCAGTTTAATTTTAGCAAAAATTTTTGTTTAGAAAGCAAACTTGCTCTAATATAGTCAGACTTTTAAAAACTAAGACCTACAGGGACGCCTGGGTGGCTCAGTTGGTTAAGTGTCTGCCTTTGGCTTAGGTCATTATCCCAGGGTCCTGGGATGGAGTCCCACATTGGGCTCCCTCCTCAGCGGGAAGCCTGCTTCTCCCTTTCTCTGCCTGCCACTCTCCCTGCTTGTGTTCTCTCCCTCTCTCTCTCTCTGATAAATAAATAAATAAAAAATAAACAAAAATAAAAACTAAGACCTACAGTAAGAAATTGTGACCCAATATACACATATGCGTTGCCATTTTCTATCCTGCTATTTTTCTTTTCTTTTTTTTTTTTTTTAAAGATTTTATTTATTTATTTGAGAGAGAGAGAATGAGAGATAGAGAGCACGAGAGGGAAGAGGATCAGAGGGAGAAGCAGACTCCCCGCTGAGCGGGGAGCCCGATGCAGGACTCGATCCCGGGACTCCAGGATCATAACCTGAGCCGAAGGCAGTCGCTTAACCAACTGAGCCACCCAGGCACCCTAGCCTGCTATTTTTCATTCCATTCTTTTACTCCCAAAATATGTAATGACCACCCATAGTCTTGAGAAACATTGCTCTAATTCAGTAAGAAACTTTAGGCCATATAAAAATTCAGTTCATTTACAATTTTAAGGCATATATCCAATGTATGTAGCTTTTTAAAGTATTAGTAAATTTAAACTATGCTGATTAAAATCTTTGCGAATTATAAACTTTTTGAAGCAGAGATTCTTTATAAATTACCTATCTCCTTGACAGATTCTTACATAGTACTTAATAGAACTCCGTAATGCTTGTACTGAATTCAGAAATTAAACCAGCTGATCTTCATATAATGAGTTAAAAATATTATTCAGTGGACTAATGTTCTAAAACAAGCTTTCTGATTGTCTCATATTTATACACAATTTTCCTACAGAAATTAGGTAAGGAGAAAAGGAAATACCTAACTTTTAAAATAACTAGAAAACATTATCTGTATGAAGTATTTTAAGAAGTACCTTCTCATTTATATTCCAATTAGCTGAACATTTCAGACATTAGTTTTTTATTTAATTTAATAGACTACCCTTATTGGACAGATTATTCTTATTGTGCATACTTTAATATCATGATTAGTGAAGTTTTATACATATTGAAAACTTTCAGTTTTTAGAATGTAGAAACGTTTTATTTTCCTGAATATGTTCCACAAACCTAGAAATTCTATTAATATAATAAAATGACATTTATACATGGAATTCTTAATATTTTAAGCATTCATTTTAGAAAAATGAGTTTACTAAACAGCATTGCAAACTTATAAATGTTCTAGGTAAATAAAGAGGGGGAAAACAGAAATTCATACATAATATTCTATTTGGTAAAAACATGAGGATTAACCAAGCACTGGGTACTGAAGAATGATGATGTTATTTCATGAAAAATATGTTTGTTAGTATCTTCTGCTGTGAAATGGGTAAGTGGTAAATGTCAAATATATCTGTGAAAGTCAAAAGTAAATATTTTTATTTACTTTTAACCAAAGTATACTTAATGATTGGTTTCAACAAAGAAAGCTACACATAAATTTGCTAATCTTTTTCTTGCTGAGAAGTTCTACATTAACTGCTATGTCTCCACTGTTTACATTTTCCAACAAGATCAATGTTATTACCACTAATCTTGTTTCCCAATAACTTTACGTGAAAATATATAATTTTTATAATTTTTATTTTGAGCTGTGATTTATCAAAAAATACTGTAATTCTGTTATTAAATCCATAATCATTTATTTTAAAAACATCTCATTCAACTTTTTTTTTTTTTAAAGATTTTATTTATTTATTTGTCAGAGAGAGAGAGAGAGCGAGTACAGGCAGGGGGAGAGGAAGAGGGAGAAGCAGGCTCCCCACCGAGCAGGGAGCCCGATGTGGGACTCGATCCCAGGACCCTGGGATCATGACCTGAGCCTAAGGCAGCTGCTTAACCAACTGAGCCACCCAGGCATCCTCATTCAACATGTTCTTGATCTTAAATTAAAATGTGGCTTTTAAATACCAAAAAAACCCACATTTTAATATGCACTTAGATGTGTACATACATAAATATATAAGTATATGTAGATCTATAAATATACAGTGGGAGTTAGGTACATTTGTATTTGAGACTATAATTTCCTAACCTACTCATTGTTAAAAAAGAAAAAAATCAATTTGTCATAAAAATGCTAAGCCTACTGTCTTATCTAAGTAGCTACTTAATTTGCATTTAGAGCCCAGAGAATAAACAGGAAAAAGGGAAATAAAAAGTTTGTCATTTTCCATGCTAAGAAGGGGAAACATTATCATGATGATGATGATGGAGGATATCTATGTTACATTACCTGAAAAGTTTTTATTTAATCAAGTTTTTATTTTTACTTACAGTTCTACTTTATACTCAGGTTACAAACATATGTATTTTTTCAAATGCTCAATTACAACAGTAATTATTTGATTTTTTTAAAAAAGGAAAATGGCACAAATAATAAACTCATCTAACAATGTAAAGTAGATCTAGACATGATAAATAATTCAACTCTAGGCTAAGATATATTGATTGCATCAGCGTTGGAAATCTGTAATGTTTAAGTATAAACCCTTAAAAAGGCTATCATCCTAATGGCATATAAGAAATAGAATTACAACTAAATTTCTAATAGCAGTGGTTCAACAAAGAGACAGGATCTTGCATTACCTATGGTGTCAGCTTTGCTAAATCTTCGAGTTACAACATTGTTCATGTTTCCATTTTCACAGAGCTTCAATTCTGTGAGATATACTTCTACTTTGCAGTGCTTTACAAACATACCCTGTTCAACCACCTAAAAACCAGAACAAATCAGTGTTAGCTATAGCTCAATATATTTCACTGTCTCTAACAGCAATATATTTCTCTAAAAAGGCTTTAGAAAAAAACTGCAGCTCTCCAAAAAAAAAAAAAAAACTGTAAATATAATAAAACCACCTAAAAACCAGAACAAATCAGTGTTAGCTATAGCTCAATATATTTCACTGTCTCTAACAGCAATATATTTCTCTAAAAAGGCTTTAGAAAAAAACTGCAGCTCTCCAAAAAAAAAAAAAAATATTAAAAACTGTTAATATGAAATAAGAGATACTAAATAGCTGAAAAAGCCAGAAACATATTTGGAATATTTAACAGACTATGAATAATCATATTAAACATTAACAGATAGTTTGGAAAGGCATTTTACTCATCTATGAAGATACTCTGGTATACTATAAATAATTAATCCATTCAGTATTTATTATGAGCAAGTTTACCCCCAATGTAAATACCGCTCTGATTAATAATCTAGACCTACTGCTAGCTTTTAGTACTTGATCCCAAGCAGAAAACCTTTAAAAATGATAAATTTTATAAAACTTCAGTTAGCAACAGCTAACTCTGTATGTTAAATCACTCTATATGTTAAAATAAATCTTTTACAATAACTCCAAATTACTGCTGCCAAAATACTCAGCTATGGCCTGTAACTGATATGTTAGTTTTCCATCCTAAGATGACTTTGTTTGACCTTTAAATACACTCTTAGTAATTCTATGCAATGAATGGAAAAAAGAAAAAAAAGCTGCTAAACATGCAAGCAACAAAGCAGGAAAAGAGAAAATATGTATATATTAGGGTCACCTTTTAAATAAATATATTTCCTTTTGATCTTCTAAAGGTTAACTGTAGGATTTCAGTCATGAATACTGCTTCTGAAAATAGTAATCAGCCTGATATGTGATACATTAGACAAATATGGCTACAGGGAGGCTCCAAATAACTGCTGTAACTCACAAGCTTAGCATCAGTTCAGTAAAGGCCTTAAAATCTGTCTTTCACTTGCAGGGAAATTGTGTTAGCTCAAAAAATTCAAATGTAGTTTAGCTAATATTTAATGTCCAATCCAACACTAATTTTTATAATACTTTGTCATTTATATTCTTTTATACTTGTTATATTCACATTTCTAAAACAGGCAACAGCCTGCACCTCTCTCTCAATTAATTTTACAAACTAATATATAAATTGTCTCTTAACTAATGAAACTTGTTTTAAATTTCTTATGCTTATTTATTTTGAGGTTAAGAATGTAGCAAAGATACCATATCATTTAATCTTACAAGATTACGTGTAGCTATATTTAAGTAGAAAAACCAGAAATCAAATATTCCTATCAATCAGAAATTTTTGCTCTGGGACTTAATATCTGAGTAAGAATCCTAAAATAATATTAATACTAACCATTGGTAGGTTGCTAAAACTGAGGTGCCTACAGGCCTCATTTTTAGGGGGAAAAATGGAATGATCAACAACAAAGCAAGTAATGGCATAACAAAACAGGATAAAATAACAAAAAAGAAAATCTCTCATTATTATTTATATTGAGATATATTTTTCTAAATAAGCATAGTTTTAAAAAATGAGGATTAATTTTCATAACACTAATAGATATTTCCTGGAAAAAAAAATCTAGTGATTTAACTGTTAGAAAGTCATTATAAACAATGAAAACAAAACACCAAGATTATTTCAAAATCCACTTAGTGGGTTTCAGGACTTTTCTCACCATTTTTTCTTCTCTCCAACAATATCTTATATTGTTAAAACCCTCATCATCAGTACTCTAAATATTATTATGTTCATAAGACATTTTACTACTTCCAAAAGCAGTGTATTAAAAAGCTGTTTTTTTTAAAGAAAATATGAGTTTGTCCTCCCAACTATTTTTATTTGAAAGAACCATACTATATGAATAATTAAAGCTTGAATAGAGTAGCTCCATAGCAGAGAAAAGTAATTAGCATTTTTATGTATTAGTGTTATTACGGTTGTATGTAGATTATTTATTTATATAACATCTTCTCTATATTTGTTTATATTAAGTCTACTACCTTATTAAAAATGCACTAAAAATAACCATTTAAAATAATGAAGACTGTGTAATAGGAAGAAACAGGCTTATAAAAAACAAGGTACAAAGTTATACTTACCTAATTATTATGACCACTAAAATACACATTTGAAATAAGACTGGATAGAGGGGAGGGGGGGTGGGGGGATGGGTTAGCCTGGTGATGGGTATTAAAGAGGGCACGTTCTGCGTGGAGCACTGGGTGTTATGCACAAACAATGAATCATGGAACACTGCATCAAAAACTAATGATGTAATGTATGGTGGTTAACATAACATAAAAAAAATGAAAGAAGAATGGAACATGAATATTCAGAAATAACAGTTATGTTTCAGAAGTACAGGTGACTGCCAAAATATTTTTTCTAAGTGAACTATAATAAAGAGCAAGTATAAGATGAAATCTGGCTTCCTATCCAAAATTTAAAACCTATGGCTAAATAAAAATAGTTCCATTAATTGATGGCCACAATGAAGGTAAAATCTTTACTAAATTAGTGCAGGAAATACAAATTTATATTGAATTAAAATAAATGTAATTTGTTCATTTTGCTGTGAATATTAGACAGCATTTTGTAGAAAGTCATGAAATATATTGATAAACCTAATGTACTCTTTAAATTGGCATATGAAAGTTTCATAGAAATTTTACCTAATTCCAAGTGCTTACTTCTTCCCCTTTGGAAACAAAGTTACTTCTAAAGAAATCTGGTACTCTAAAACAATTTGATGACATGGCCTAATCGGACACATTTACTATTTTTGAGGAGGTAGCTACATTTGTTTTTGTAGCACTTACTGAGTACGAAGCTTACTAGTGGTAAAAAATAGACAAGTAGAGAAGTATAACTCAACTATGAGATGATAGGTGTTAATACATAACATTCTACTTATAATATTCTATCCACAAATATTTCAGGATATATTTCTTCAAAAACAAGGACTCAAGAACCATAATACCACATCACACCTAATAAAATTAAAACTAATCCCTTAATAGCAAATACCCAGCCAATATTCAAATTGTCCCCATCTCATTTGTATTGAATCAGGATCCAAATAAGGCCCATGCACTGTAATTGACTGATAAAGCTCTAAAATGTCATTTAACTGAAAAGTTCACCATCTATCCTTTTATTCTCGCAATTTTTAATAAGACTACTTCATATGTAGTGAGATATTCTAAATAAGACGCAAATAATATCTAGTTGCCCCTCTTTTTGTGATGCTGGTAGGCATTAACTAACCAGGGCCAAGATCAGGGATGGGCCAACTATGACCCACAGGCTACATTTGACTCACCATCTATTTTTGTAAATAACATTTTACTAGAACATAGTCATGTCCATTCATTTATATATCATTTATGGCTGCACCCAAAACAGCAGAGATGAATACTTTCCACAGAGACTACCCTGGCTCATAAATGTTTACTATCTGGCCCTTTACAGAAAAAGTTTGGAGACACCCCCCCCCCTCCCGCCGCTCCAAACTCCCTGGGCATTATTTTATTTTGATCAGTCTTGCCAGGACCTATGTTTTATTTTACTGGTCTAACTTCACTGTTTTTTGGGTCAACTTTGTTCATTTAATGTAGGTTTTTTTCTATTTTATTAATGTCTATTTTTTTATTATTTCTTGATTAGGCTTAATTTCCTTTTCTTCTCTTAACTTGTTGAGACAATACATCTTGACTTTCTTCTTTTCTAATATATACATTTAAGCTATCACATTCCTTGTAAGAATGGCTTTAGTCACTTTTATACTGTATTGTTATCATTGTTTAAAATGTTTGATTTTACTTTGTATTTCTTCTTTGACCTAAGAATTACTTTAGAAGTATATTATTCCATTTCTAGGTAGCTAGGAGACAATCTTGTTACCTTTTTGTTACTGACTTCTAAATACCACTGGGGACAGAAAATACACTGAATAATTTCTATCATTAGAAATATAGTGGAATTTGCTTGATGGCCCAGCAAATGGTCAATTTTGGTAAAAATTCCACTTAAGAAGAATTTCTATTCTGCATTTACTAAGTGCAATGTATGTCAATTAGGTCATGCTGCTTAATCATGTTGTTCAAATCCGCTTCCAAGCTCAATCATGTGGTTGTTGGCAGTCCTCAGATCCTCTCCAGCTGTTGGCAGATAATTTAGCTCCTCATTATGTCAGTGCCTCTATAGGCTATATGGCAATATGGCTTCACTCAGAGCGACTGACCAGAGAGAGTGCGCAAAAGAGCACTCCTCACCAACATCTTTTACAAACTAATCCCAGAAGTAACACATCACTTCTGCCATATTTTACTGGTCACACAGACTAACTCTGGTACAATGTGGGAGATTACACAAGAGTATGAATACCAGGAGGTGGTGATCACTGGGGAACGTTTTGAGGATGGCTACCACAGTCTACTCTCTGGCTCCCAATAAGTCACAGTCCCTCCCCACAACATGTAAAATACATTCACTCCCTGCAAAGCCCCCTTAGTATCATCCCATTATAACATCAACTCCAAGTCAGAAACTTGTCATTTATATCTGATCCAGGTGCAGATAAGAACCCTTAGGTATAGTTTCTTAATCATCTTGAGTATAGTTTTTCTTTATAATTCTGTGAACTTCAAGGTAAGTTTTCTGCCCCACATACACCCAAAATAAAATGGTGGGGCATGCAGAAGATAATTTTTTTAGATATTCCTGTTAAAAGGAGCACAGGGGAAAGAGGAACAAAGGAGTCAATGGTCCACAGAAATTCTGAAATCCACCTGGGCAAATACTTAAAGTTCCTTGATAAGGGCTTATTCTGACCTTACCTGAAAATGAGTCTTCACAACACTTGATTCTGCTTCCTGGGTCATACAATTTTCATAAAAGTTAGCACATGTTTGCAGTTGAGTAAATACTTAGTCTGACTCCTGCCTGTAGGAGTCTAGGAGACTTCTTTGATTTTACACTGTCTCTGCAGTCCAAGATGGTAGTGCTTCTTGAAAACATCATAGGTCTCCAGTGGATCTCACTGGAGTCTCATTCCATTAGACAAAAAGTCACATCCACAAATGTCCTCTAGATATGTCCTATCTTGGGTTTATGCTGAGAAGATTGAAGGGCAATGCTCTTAAGCTTCTTAGAAGCCCTAGAGTTCTTAGAAGCAACAAATTGAAAGGAAGTGTAAAGTATACCCTGAAATTCTTTAAAGGGTCTTTTGTCTGAACAGTATTGTGAGGCACCACCTTTGATTTTTCTGAGGTCTTAAAGAATTTTACAGTCGTACCTGTGGCTCTTTTTGGTCATGCTTTCCTGACAGTGCCTTGAGTTTCATCTTTGCTTGGGAACATATCATAGTTTCAGCATTGTATGTCATCTGGAGAGGCCAGAAATCCTCAAAACTAGTAAGTCTTGGCTCCTTTTTAACAGCCCTTTCTTTAGTTTCTCCCTCCCTTCTTAATCTGATTACATGCAGGCACAAGAAAAACCAGGCAGTTCTGGCAGATCATTCAGCTTATGAGATATATTTTCTACCTTTCAATTTACTGCAGTTGACATGTTGCTAAACTTTCTGCTACCTTATAACAAAGATCACTTTCTTCCGGGTTCCTATAAGATTTTCTTCACTTTCCTGTAAGTCCTCACTGGCAGCCTCCTTAAAGTCTAAAATTCTACTAACAATTTATTCAAGGCACCTTAGGCTTTCATTAATACTCTTGCAGGTTCTTACAGCTTCTACTCCCTGCCTGGTTCCAAAGCCACCACCACAGTTCAAATTTTGTAAAGGCAGCACACTACTTCAGGTACCAAATTAGTTATCAGTTTTCTGTTGCTGCATACTAAATCACCCCCAAACTCAGAGCGACTTAACAGAGTAAACATTATTTTACATAGTTCCTGAGGGTCAAGAATCTGGAGCAGCTTAGCTGGGTTGTTCTGGCTTGGGGTCTCCTGAACTGTCAAGCTGTGGGTTGGGGCTTCAATTATCTGAAAGCTGAGTGAGACTGGAGGATTCATTTCCAAGCTCACTCACATGGTTGTTAGCAGGCCTCCATTTCTCTCTACTGGTCAGAGATATCAGTTCCTTACCATGTGAGCCCCGCTACAGGCTGCCTGAGTACGTAGTTGAAGTCCCCAGACTGAGAAATGAGAGAGAGCAAGAGGGCGTGTGCACCCAAGTGTGAGCCAAGGTGTCTTTTATAATCTGATCTTTTCTATTTTAATGAGGTACAACTGACATATAACATATTAGTTTCAGGTGTAAAACATAATGATTCAATATTTGTCTATGTTGTGAAATGATCACAATAGGTTTAGTTAACGTCCATCATCCTATTACAAAATTTTTTTTTCTTGTGATGAGAACATTTAAGATCTACTCTTACTCTCTTAGCAACTTTCAAAAATACAATACAGTATTATTAACTATAGTCACCATGCTATATATTTACACCCCCATGACTTACCTATTTTATAACTGGAAGTTTGTACCTTTTGACTCCCTTGACCCTAAAATCTAATCTTGAAAGTGATATACCTACTATAACTTCTGCTATATATTGCTGGCCACAGGAGACTACCCAAGGATTAGCTCACTGGAGGTTACCAAGGAGGCTACTACCTTAACTTATATGCAAATATTACATATTTTAAATTTATGCATATATTCATCTCAATAAGAAATTACTACCATTTTAAATAGTCTGCCTTAACACATTTATTCACAATATTTAGTGCTGTCAAACTACATTTTCTATGTCTCCAAGCTTCCATATGTAATAATTTCCTTCCATTCTAAAGACTGTTTTGTATTTCCTTTAGAGCAGGTCTGCTAGTAACAAATTCTATCAATTTGTTTATCTGAAAAATAGCTTTTTTCACCACCTGAAGGATCCTTTTCTGAAGAATCCTTTCCTTGCTTATAGCATTCTAAGTTGGCAGTTATTTTTCTTTCATCATGTTGAAGATGGTTATTTTTCAGCTTTCATTTCTCTTGAGAAATCATTTCTTTGTTTATTCTTACTTTGAAGGTAATAGACTTTTTTTGGGCTACTATTTGGAATATCTTTTTGCCTTTGAATAATTTTATTGGGTATAGTTTTGTTCGTATTTTTTTTTTTTAGCATGGGTTTCACAGCATTTTTTTTTTTAAAGATTTTATTTATTTATTTGACAGAGAGAGACACAGTGAGAGAGGGAACACAAGCAGAGGGAGAGGGAGAAGCAGGCTTCCCGCTGAGCAGAGAGCTCGATGTGGGGCTCGATCCCAGGACCCTGGGATCATGACCTGAGCCGAAGGCAGACACTTAACGACTGAGTCACCCAGGCCCCCCCCTTCACAGCATTTCTTGATTCTATATAGCATGTCACCTTTCATCAGTTTTAGAAAATTCTCAGCTATTAACTCCAGTGTTCTTTCTACCCTATTCTGACTTTCCTCTCCTTCTAAGAGCCCACTTATATGTATATTAAAATTATGCACTGTGCTCCAAGTGTCTTTGCTTATTTCTATGCATTCCATCCTTCAGTCTCTTTAAGTTTTAGTCTGTATATTTTCTACTAATGTTAGTTTACAAATTTTCTCTTTGGTTCTATTTAGTGTCCTAAAACTCAAACACTGAGTATTTACTTCTTAATTTTTTCATATTATTTTAGAATTGTAGAATTATATTTGGATCTTAATAGTTCTGGAATTATATTTGGTTCTTAACAGTTTTGTCCTTCGACTGTCTTATTTTTTTAAAGATAATAAGCACAGTATTTTAAAGTTTCTGTCTGGTAACTCCACTATCTGGATTCCTTATGGGTCTGTTACTATTGTCTACTGTTTCTCTTGGATTTTGGTTCCACTGTATTTCTTGTTCATTTATGTTTACTTTTGCCTGTTTTGTTGTTGTTTTAACTGAGTGCCTGATACTATAAGCAAAATATTTTAGAGATGATTTCAGGCCCAGAGAGATGCTTAACTACTTTGTTTCTGCATGACATCTACCAATCCTAGGTTCCTCAATTCAATCAGAGATTAGTAAAATTCAAAGTTGGGCTTCAGACCCTTAAAAAAACGTCATTCTTTAAGTAAATTTCATTGTCATAAGAGTCACATGGGGGCAAAGTAAAGGTGGAAATTCCCAGACTTACTAATTTAATTTTGGAGGAAGACACATCTTAATAAAAACCCTGGTTAATCTTATGCACACTAAAGCTTAAATATTATCTTACAGGTTGAATAAATTCAAACTATCTTGTTTAAAAATAAATGGATGCCCTCCTAACAGAGAAACTTTTTTTCTCTCTACCTGTATGAAATTTTCATGATTTTTATTTATTTACTTATTTTAATTTGCTATCAGGCACAGATTTTAAGAAATTCCAAAACAGCCTCTTTCAAAAAGTAATGCCAATGAAGTTATTGGCTGGTCTGCTTACCATACCAAATACTTGTATTGTATAATATGCTACCTTTATTAAGAAAAAGAAAAGTTTATCATTCAAGTTAAAGTAATACAGGTTAGCATATTTGAAGATATTCCAGGCACAGATTTTCCTTTAACCCAGGAATAACTTGTTCTTCTAAACAGTTTTAGAGCTAAACAATCTACCCTTCAATTGATCAAAACACTCAATTCTCTAGCAAATATCGATAAAACAACAGGTCATTTTATGTGTATAAGGCTAGAATCCCTAAAAGACAGAAATCCTAATTTTGAAATAGCTGTAAGAGAAGGCTGAGTGAAGTTAAGGGTCAAAACTAAAATGAACCAGGGTGCCTGTGTGGCTCAGTTGGGTAAGCATCTGCCTTCGGCTCAGGCCACGATCCCAGGGTCCTGGGATCGAGTCCAGCATTAGGCTCCCTACTCAGCGGGGAGTCTGCTTCTCCTTCTCCCTCTGCCCTTCCCCACTGCTCATGTTCTCTTTCTCACTCTCTCTCAAAAAAATAAATCTTAAAAAAAAAAAACTAAACTGAACTAAATCAAAGGTACATTCACATTCTATTTAGAAAACAGAATTTAATTCTATACCTAAACCACCAATATATACATACAAATTGTTAATATAGCTACTCTGTAGCATCAGTTCCAAATAAATCCATGTATGGTTTGGTCTACTAGGTTTGTACCCTTGTGTTACAGAATTTGGCTTTTTAATTGTTTCTGTGTGGAAAAAAACAACACAGATAAATAATTATATGCTCCAAACACTTCCTTCTTTCCCCTTCACTGCCCAATACACTAACAAATACTTAGGTAAGATTGACAGATCTACTTTAAACATTTGGTATTCTGCTATGATGACAAGATCCTCACTTTTTAGTAACTTTTTAGTTCCAAAAAGTAAAGATAATGGATCATTTTTAACATTTCTAGACTTTAATTGTAAAACTTGCAACACAGTGATTAAGAAAACAGGTTGCCTAAGTTTCTAAATTGAAACTCTCTCTACCTCTGTCTTTATTTCCTTATCTACAATGAAGATAATAATACCTACCCTATAGAGTTTCCTGTGAGGATTAAATTATATACCCTTGTAACACAAGGGTATATAATTTGCTTGTAACAGTGACTAGCAAATAGTAAATCCTCTACAGGTATTAACTGTTGTTTTTATTATACAGTGTAAAAGTAACATTTTGATGGTCTTTTTCTCCTAGATAACTGATGAGGCTTCATAAGTCATTAAATTAACAATAAAATGTGAACTGTTCAAGAAAAATATTTTTATTCACTTATTCTAAATATGTACCTTTCGCGCTATTGGTTCCTGACCTTCCATCAATGTGTACCAGCTGACAAGTTTATTCCAGCCCTCAGTTGGCAATAGTATGTAATCCAATTCATCAATAAGATGTTCCTTAAGTGACTGGGCATCACCATCTGCAAAAGAAAAAAGTAAACTCAATAAATAAAAAGAAACCATAGTACATATATCTAAATACTTCAGTGTAAATATCGTAAGTTAAACTCATAGAGACTAATTTAAGAATTTAAATGAGTTCTGAAGAAAGCTCTGAAGAAGTTCACATATAAATCTACATATTCCAAAATAAACTGTTGCTTTAAAAAGATTCAATGTGTACCAGTAGTCAAAGAACAGTGTTTAAAGACATAATTTTTATAAGCTCTTAAAATACCAAGGGATCTGAAAGAAGTGTTTCCCAAATATTTAAAGTAGGACATCCCTCACAAGGTAACAGTGGTCATTCTAGTATTAGCTGATGAAGGAAATTCAGACGCAAATTGATAACCTTCTACAATGACTCCAAAGCACAGGGGCTGGGAACCATGATGGAAATCACAAAAGAGCGTCTTATGAAACAAATCATTATTCCAGAAGGCCCACGATCTAGATTCCTCCCAAAATCTAAAGTGGAGGTAGTTGTTCAGATGTGGTTCTAATTCTATGATCATTTTCAAAATTCTGGTTAAACTAAAAATTTAGTGCAGGGCAGGCCAGACATCTAGAAGCAATACCCTGAGTTATACCTACATGAGAGTCCTAATCTGAGAATCATTTATTATTATCTGGTCCTTTTACCTGAATTTCCAAAGTACAGAAACAGATACAGTTCATCGAGTTATATACAACATAAAGAAGATTTTTCTCAATTTGAGCCAGTCTTAAATTAACAAACACGGGAAGCAAAATTGTTCTCAGTAGCATCTCAATAATGAGAACACACTATTCTTAATTAGATGTAACAATATAAATCAAGAAGCAGGAAAAATTCTGAAAGGATTGAGATTAAAGTTATTTATTCCATCTAGGATCAAGCAATGGTCACAGAATTACCTAAACATTTTTTTTAAAAGATTTTATTTATTCATTTGAGAGAGAGAGAGCACAAGCATAAGCACAAGCAGGGGGAGAGGTAGAGGGAGAGAGAGAAGCAGACTCCCCACAGAGCTGGGAGCCCAATGTGGGGCTCAATCCCAGGACCTGGAGATCATGACCTGAGCCGAAGGCAGATGCTTAACTATCTGAGCCACCCAGGTGCCCCAAATTACACTAAACTTTGAGAAAACTTTCATATAGAGCAGAAATGATAAACTCTGAATTGTATAGTACAAACTTCAATAGCAGATACAAACGAAGCATTAATTTTTAAGCTCAGTTTTTTAAACCTTAGTTGTAATTTTAAATTCTTGATGGGGAAACTGATAATTTGGAACATATTTTTAGAGTCTGCTGAAGGTGAAAGAAACTTACATATTCTTAACCCCTATATGCATCATATTCTATGAGATATATTACAGTAAACAACCATGTTATCTCAGTCAGTTCTCAAAACAATCCTGTAAGATCGGTATCTCCATTTTAGATTGGAAAATATTTTTAGAGAAACTGAGTAACTTGCCCAAGATCATACATACAGAAAATTGCAGGTACTGTGCAAAGTGTTACTAGAAAACACTGTTATCTCAGGTGACTTTTCAAAACAATATTATGAGGTAGATATCTCCAAGTTAATTAGTAAACAGATTCACGTATTGATTAACTTGCCGACGGTTGCGCATACAGAAGACTGTAGAAACTGGATTCAAATACAAATTGGTTTACTCTAACATCCATTTTCTTCCTACTATTAACAGACTGTCTTGAAGAAAACTTAGGAAAAGAAAGAGGAGTTTAAAAATTAAGACTTTTATGCTGTTTTCCACAATAATTTAAGAGTATGGGTAAATGATTTTATTATGTATCAGAATCCAATAGTAATTTTATATCTAATGGACAAAATAAAACAATCAATTTATTTTTGAGAGAATACCCCTAAGCTAAACACAGAAGAGCTGATTATTTGTTACTTCTGCATTTATTGATACATAAATGATACACAATAAACTGCACATATTTAAAGTGAACTATTTGTTAAGTTCTCACAGAGCAATACAAGTGTGAAACCATCACCACAACCAAAATGATGAACATATCCATTCCTCAAAGGTTTCCTAGCAGTTCTTTGTAATCTCTCCTTCCTGTCCATTCAGGTCTACTGTCCTATCCCCAGAAAATCACTTATCTGTATTTTGCAACTATAGACTAATGTGAATTTTATAGAATTATATATGAAAATTATGTCTGGATGAATGGATAAAGAAGATGGGACACACACACACTGGAATATTACGCAGCCATCAAAAAATGGAATCTTGCCATTTCCAATGATGCGGATGGAACTAGAGGGTATTATGCTAGGTGAAATAAGTCAATCAGAGAAAGACAATCATCATATGATCTCACTGACATGTGGAACTTAAGAAACAGAGGATCATAGGGGAAAAGAGAAAAAATGAAACAAGATGAAACCAGAGAGGGAGACAAACCATAAGAGAGTCTTAATCTCAGGAAACAAACTGAGGGTTGCTAGAGGGGAGGCGGGTGGAGGGATCGGGTAAGTGGGTGATGGACGTTAAGGAGGGCATATGATGTAATGAGCACTGGTATTATATAAGACTGACGAATCACAGGCCTGTACCTGTGATTAAACAAATGAGCATTTGTTTAAAAGACTCTCCTCTCTCTACTGAAATCCTCTTAACATCTTTGTCTAAAATCAATTGACCACATATATGTGGATCGACTTTTGGATTCTCTAATCTGTTCAATTGATCCTTACCTCACACTACATACAAATATTAAATTAAAATTGATCAAAGTCATAAATATAACAGCTAAAAGTATAAATCTTAGAAGAAAGCATAGGTATAAATCTTGTATGACCCTGGATTAGGTGATACATTCTGACACCACAATCACAAGTAACCAAAGAAAAAATATAAAGTGGACTTAGAACTAAAAACTTCTGTACTTCAAAGATACCATCAAGAAAGTAAAAGAAAATCTACAGAATGGGAGATAATTTTTGGAAATCTTATATGTCAGATAAGGGGCTAGTATCCAGAATATATAAATAACACTTGAAACATAAGAATACAAAGACAAGTAGTCCAATTAAAAAGAACAGGATCAGGGCACCTGGGTTGCTCAGTGGTTAGGCGTCTGCCTTCGCCTCAGGTCATGATCCCAGGGTCCTGGGATCGAGCCCCACATCAGGCTCCCTGCTCAGCAGGAAGCCTGCTTCTCCCTCTCCCACTCCCCCTGCTTGTGTTCCTGCTCTTGCTATCTATCAAATGAATAAAATCTTTAAAAAATAAATAAATAAAAATAAAAAGAACAGGATCAGAATACACATTTCTCCAAAAAAAAGATATATAAGCAGCACAGATAAGATACTTAACATCATTAATTACTAGGGAGATACAAATCAAAGCAACAATGAGGTACCATTTCATATGCAGTAGGATGGCTATAATAAAAGGACAGACAATGTGTTGGCAAGAATATGGAGAAACTGGAACCTTCATATATTGCTGGTGAAAATTTAAAATAGTACAACTATTTTGGAAAACATTCTGACAATTCCTTAAATAGTTAAATATAGAGTTACTATCTAACCTAGTAATTGCACATCGAAGTGTGCACTCATGAGAAATGAAAATATGTAACTACACAAAAATTTGTATGTGAAAATGTTCACAGCATCATTAGCCAGAAAGTGAAGACAACTCAAATGTCCATCAGTTGATGAATGGATAAATTAAATGTAGTATATCCATACAATGGAAAATTATTCATCCATAAAAAGGAATGAAGTACTGATTCATGCTACATGGATGACACTTGAAAAACTTTGTGTTAGGTGAAAGAATTCAAACATTAAAGGCTACATACTATATGATTCCATTTAGATGAAATGTCCAAAATAGGTAAATCCAGAGACAGAAGGTAGATTAGTGGTTGCTGAGGGTTGGGGGTTTTAAGAGGGGATAAGCAGTGACTGCCTAACGGTACAAAGTTTCTTTCTGGTGTGATGAAAATACTGTGGTGATGGCTGTACAACTTGTGAATATACTAAAAACCACTGAATTGTACAATTTAAAAGGATAAATTTTATGATAGAAAAAAATTGAGATTGAATTTACCTACCCATCTCAATTTTTTAGACACTCACTAGAAATGTAATTTGGAGCTGTGTTGAATCTATAGTTTGAGGGGGGAAATTTAACAATATTGAGTCTTCAGATCCATCAACAGAATCTCTCTATTTAGGTTTTGATTTCTATCAGCAATGTCTTCTAGTTTTCAGTGTATAGGTCTTGCACATATTTTGTCAGATTTATCCATATTTTATATTTTTTGATGTTACTATAAAATGTATTTTTAAAATTTCTATTCATGCTAGTTCATTGTTAGCATATAAAAATACAATTGGGTTTTTAAATAATGATCTTATATCCCATAAACCAATCTCATTTATTAGTCCTTGGAAACTTTTTTTTTTTAAATATTTTATTTACTTATTTGAGAGAGAGTGAGTGTGAGAGAGAGCAAGAGAGTACACAAGCAGGGGGTAGGGGCAGAAGGAGAGGGAGAATCAGACTCCTCCAGTTCATTAGGGAGCTGGATGCAGGGCCTGATCCCAGAACCCGAGGATCATGACCTGAGCCGAAGGCAGACGCCTAACTGACTAAGCCACCCAGGCGCCCCTAGAAGCTTTTTTTTTTTTTTTTTTGTAGATTCAATCTAATTTTCTACATGGACATAGCTGTCTATGAATAAAGCAGATTTATTACTTCTTCCTATACAATCTGTATGTTTTTATCTCTTCTTCTTGCCTTACTGCATTGGGTAGAACACCTCCAGTAATGCCAGCTGAAGAGCTGAGTGGACCCTTGCCTTTTTCATGTTACCTGAAGGTTTTTCATAGATGCCCATTATGAGGATAAGGCTCTTCTTTCTATTTTACTCTTTTATCTTACATGGTATGTTACCTTTTAAACATATATTTCTATACGACATATATATCCTTTTCATTGTTGGACTTGATTTACTAAACTTTTCAGACAAGATACTGGTCTAGTGTTTTCTTAAAATGTCTCTAAGATTTTGGTATCAAGGTAATGATGGTTTCATAGCATGAGTTGGGAAATACTATCTCCCAATTTTCTGGAAGAGTTTTGTAAAATAGGTATTATTTCTCCCTTAAATATTTGGTGGAATTCACCAGTGGCACTATTTGGATCTGATGATTTTTTTTTGTGAAAAATGTTAAACAATTTTTGTACTTGATACAGGGCTACTCAGGCAATCTATTCTTTTGGAATGAGCTTTGGTAGTTTTCATCTAATTTACTGAATTTAATGGCATAAAGTTCATAATATTCCTTTATTGTCTTAATATTTGTGGATTCCATACTGATACTATGTCTCTCGTGTTCTGATACTGGTAATTGTGTCTTTCCTCTTTTTCTTGTGATCAAACTAGACATGGACCAATTTTATTATTTTCACAAAGAACCAGTTTATATTTTCTTTTTTATAATTAACACATCATATTATATTCGTTTTGAGTAGAACCAGCTCATGGGTTCACTGATTTTCTCTATTTTTATCTTCTCTAATTTCTGTCCTGAACTTATTTTTCTTCTTCTGTTTACTTTAGGTTTAATTTGTTCTTTGTTTCTTAAAAGCCAACATCACTGATTTGAGACTCTCATTTTATTTATATACTCATATATTATATAATTATATATTAATAGAGCCACTGCAGCTTTTTTTTGATTAGTATTAGCACATGTATTACTTTTCTATTTGCTGCATAACAAACTAATGCAGGGGCTAACAATACCTTAGAAAGAGATTTATTTATTTATTTTGAGAGAGAGAGAGTTGTGGGGGGCAGATGAGAGGGAGAGAGTGTCTTAAGCAGACTCTGCGCTGAGCGCAGGAACCCAACACGGGGCTTGATCTCACAACCCTGAGATCACCACCTGAGCCGAAACCTAGAGTCAAACGCTTAACCAACTGCACCACCCAGGCACCCTGAAAACAATACTTATTTACAATCTCACAATTTTGTGGGTTACAAGTTCAGGTGGGCTCAACTGGATCCTCTACTTAGGGCTCTTAAGGCAGAAATCAAGATGTCAGATGGGATGATCTCCTATCTAAAGACTCTGGGGAAGAATCTGCTTCCTAGTCCATTCAGATTGTTGGCAGAATTCAGTTTTTCATGGTGCCAGGTCTGAGATGGTCTGTTTCCTTGCTGGCTGTGGGCCATGTCTCTCTCTGTTCCTAGAGGATGCCTGCCTTCCTTGTCACAAGGCATCTTCCATTTTCAGACCAGCAGTGATGCACTAACTACTTCTCATGCTTTAAATCTCTGACTTCTGCCACCAGCTAGAAAAGTCTGCTTTTAAAGGGCATTTGTGATTAGATTAAAACCACTGGAATAATCTCCCTTTGCCATACAACATAAATAATCATGGGAATGATATCTCATCCTATTCACAGGCTCTACCCATATTCAAAGGGGGAGACGACTATAAAGAAAGTCACTGGGAGTCAGTCTTAGAATTCTGCTTACCATAACATGGCATACCTTTTTCAATTTCTTTTAATCCATTTGTATCTTTATACTAAAAGGGGGGCTTTCTTGTAGACAGTGCATAGTTATGTCTTTCTTTTTAAGATTTTATTTATTTGCCAGCAAGAGAGAGAGAGGGAGCATGCACAAGCAGAAGGAGTAGCAGGCAGAGGGAGAAGCAGGCTCCCTGCTGAGCAAGGAACCCTGTGCAGAACTCGATCCCAGCACCCTGGAATCATGACCTGAGCTGAAGGCAGACGCTTAACCAACTGAGCCACCCGGGCATCCCCATAGTTATGTTTTATTTTTTATCCGATCTCTACCTCTAATTGGGGGTATTACATTTAATGTGATTATTCATAAAGAAAAATCTAAATCTACCATCTTGCTCTTTTGTATTTGTTTCATTTGTTCATTTTTTTCTACTTAAACATTTTTTTTAAACACTGACATTTCTCCTCATTATGCATCATATTTTTCTGCTTCTTTGCATGCCAAGTAATATTTGGTTGGATCCAAGACATTACAAATTTTATCTTGTTGATTGGATGCTGGATATTTTTGTATCCCTCTAAGTATTTCTGCATTTTGTTCTAAGATGTAAAGTTTGACGCTTTCAGATTAGAAGGACAGGAGGATTAATTTTGCCCAATTACAGTGGCAGAACTGTTCTCAGTAGTATACTGCATGAATTATAAGGTTTTCCACTCTAACTGCTATGAACACATTATTCTTGGTCCTAAATTAGCCCCAATGACTGTTCCCTCTAATTCTTTTAGGTGGTTCTTCCCCTAGCCTTGGGCAGCCCCCTCACATACATGAGCTTGATCAACACTCACCTGAAGATTTGAGAGAGACCCTCTGTATATCTCTAGGTGTCTCTCTGTCTCCTCTGTGTCTCTTTGCTGGTCATTCCTATCTGGTACTCTGCCCTGAAAACTCTGGTGGCATGGGTGTCCCTGGATTCCAAACTCTTTCCTCACTGAGGGAGATTGCCAGGCTCTACATGGGTTTCCTCTTCTGTGCCTTGTCTTGAACATTCTATCAATGCAGTAAGCTGAGGCAATCATACAGCTTACCTCATTTGTTTCCTATCTCTCAAGGATCACTATTCTTTGTTGCCTGGTATCCAATGTTTTGAGAACCGTTATTTTATATATTCTGTCAAGGTTTTAGCTTGCTCAGGTGGAAGAGTAATCTAGTCCCTCTTACTCCATCTTGGCCAGAAATGGAAGTTCTGGTACTTATGTTTTATTCTCTTCAAGTGTAATGAGAGGTATAGAAGACTGGTAAGTAGTGAGGGTTGTAGAAGACGGCTGCAAAATTCCAAGAATGTAAACATGTATCAATGCTCCCCAACTTAAAAAGAAAGTCATGTGTCCATTAGGAAAAACAGTTAACAATACAGCATTTCCCCCAAATAATAAGATAGTGCTTTCTAACTTACATTCTTCACTTAAAGGGTTAAACAATAATAAACCTTTCTTACATAATAAATGAAAAAATTTGTCATGATACAGAGCAATAACTAATTATGATAGAATAATCTGAGTTCATTAGGTTAATCTATAATACAAAGAAATTTTTCTAATTTATTTAAATTAACATTTTCCCTATTACATATATTGACTATAACATATTCAAATGAACACATTTACAACCTGACTGAAGAAAGGAAATAATGACCTTTGAGAAGTCCAGAGTTATCAATGGGTCCAGGATATACATTTTGATCTCCCATCTGGTATTTGTCCCAACTGTCAAAGCCAACATATTTTTTCCACTGTTTGAACCAGCGACTATCAACTAGGTACCTAAAAAAAGAAAAGAAATCAGTAAAGGAAAATACCTGTAACCATAGGAATAGCAGAGAAGCTATCTATTTTTGATATTTCATTTTATATTATAGTACATGCCTACTTCAAAGGATTATTGAGAATAACTGTAATGTGACTTACAATCTGGAAAAAAATTTCACTTATACAGTGTTATTTCTATTGTTCTATAAATACCTACTAATGAGGACAGGTATTGACATACACTTTAAAAAAAATCCTTAACAGCACCTCTTAGAAAATGCAATAGCTATTCCATAAAATGTTTGACAATTGAACAAAAATTCAAATGGGAATTATAAGAATGAATCAAAATAAAATTTTAAAGTACAACATGGTAAAATATAAAGAAACACCAAAATGGTTCTTCTGCAAAAAACTTACAAAGACAGTATGTTTATTTTATATAGTTTACTCTATCTTTCTGGGGATAAGGAAAGTGGATTATTAAAGGTTTGCAAGACTGATTATAATAATTGTAATAATAAATTTTTAAAAACTTTAGTTAGCTTCTTTACCAACAAAAATTAATAACAACAATATGCCTCCATCTATTTCTCATAAAATCTGCTGGGGCAGGCAGGATAGATTTTTTTTGATTGGTTTCAAAAGTGTGGTACACCAAGCACTGTAAGCATTACTGAAACTATATTCATCTTATTTTCAAGTACCTACAAACTGGCTTCTCATCAGATGACCAGCGACAGAAAAAGTAAAATAAGGGTGCTCCAGTAAAGAAAGCTCATAAACCTAAAAAACTTTACAAATTTATTCTGACTATATTATACCCACTATGAAATGCTGCTTTGCCATGGACTCATAATTATTTTAAATTCTTTTCCAGAAACATTTTCCCATACTTAACCAGGTTCAATCACAAACAAAATCAAAAGTAAAGGTTAACAAGCTGTTTAAAGCCCACATGTGTACTAACATAGGTAATCAAGTGTTTTTGGAGATCATTCTAATGTATCTGTGCTTACTACACACAGCACTACGTATAGGAACGAAATCCTACAGTTATACAGTTATTTGTTTGAAGCAAAGGCACCAATCTAACAAAATCCCACAATTCCTAGAGAATATTCATCAGCAGTTTAATTCCCTTAAAGTGGGTACTGCAGAATTATCTATACACCAGTACTCCAAACCTACTGTCAGGATTATGTAACTGAAATTCAGCCCCCAAATTGTAGAATTTGAGACTTATGAAGAAAAAAAGTTCAGAGACTAAGTCTTAAGAAAACCCTATTTTTAAAATAAAGAGATTAAATCAGCAATAACTTTACATATTAAAGAAAATTATACTTAAGTATTTATCATCCACTAAAAATTTTTTAGACTCCCTCCTGTGATTTAAACAAAATATTCAGACATTTCATTTGCTTTGCAAACTAACGTCATACTATGTGGCCTTTCCTCTGTTCCATCTATTTTTGTCAGGCGTCAGGGCTTTCAGAGCTGGTACCAATTTGATATTATCTTTATTACTTTAATCTTGATTTCTTTTTTAGGGCAAGTTCCCCCAGCTTGGTGTTGTTGCAAATTGCCTTAACTGTTCTTGGCCATTTGTTCTTCCATGTGAATTTTAGAGTCAGTTTATCAAGTTCCACAAAAAATACGATTAAGATTTTGATTGGAATTTGTTGAATTTATTAACAGTAACATTATAAATAACAATGTGATTTATAAAACTGACATTAAAACTATTTTGGAAATACTATCAAAATTCTATTTATTTTATATTTATTTAAAATATATTTCTAAAAGATGGGGTTTTATCCCCCAAAATATTTAATAAATCCTTTACTGTATGGTAGAGGTTTGCACTGGGTAGTATTCATCTGTTGTTATATTTCTAGTTTAACTCTCCTAGATCTTGAAGTGACTACTTTCTGTATAATGATACTATTATGAGAGGAAACTCTTGTACTTGATGGGTATTTATCTGCTTTCAACTGAAAAGACCATCGTATCTCTATTACAGGCCACCTATATCTTATTTGTAGAATTTTGTGGTAATGAAACATGAGGGGAAATATAGGAAAAAACAGAAACATCTATTACAGAAATAATATGTAGACTTCTTACTCAATAAAGACAATATTAAATGAAGTGAACTAAATAAAAAAAATTCGATTTTAAGACATTTACATAGATTTGTTGTAAAAACTCTACCCCTAATCTGTGAATCTGCCAAAAGATAAGAATCTTCAATTTGAACTGGTAAAAGCCTACAACAGAATCAATAGTTCTCAAAGATTACAAGTAAGTGAACAAAGACTCAACTTACACATTCTCAACAGCACTCCTAATCCTTGGTACGCTATTAGGATCCAGATAGGGCCAATTTTATAGCTCTCAAGATTTTTTTGTTTGTTTGTTTTTTAAATAGCTATAACTATTTGTAAAGACTAATATTTCATGACTTTTATTCTTAGACCTAAGAAAGAATAAAAGGCATGAAATAACAATCCTTATATACAGTTATAACTATGATCGTAAGATGAAGTCTAAAATCCTTAACATCGCCTACCTGGTTTTGCATGATCTATCTACTCCTGCCTGTCTAGTCTCAACTGGTACCATTTTTCTTTGCTGAGATGGAACTACAATAACCTTCTTTCAGTTACTAGACACTCCATTTTTTGCCTTATGGCTCCATCTGCCTAGACTATACTCCTATTAATCTCAACATCTATTTAATTCCTATAATCTTTCAGATAGCCTACATGTCACTTTCTCAGGGAATCCTCCCATAAGCCTTTCCCACTTCCTTTCAAACAGTATGGAAAAGGAGAAATAAGATGGCAAAATCAGGCTACAAGATATCAAGACTGCTTATTAAGTTAAAGAAATTACTTTTAATAACAAAATAACTAACATGTGAGCTTTACTCTTGGGCTAGGGGCATATTTCTAAGCACTTTAATATATTGGTTCATTTATTCCTTTAACTACCCAATAATATAGGTACTATTATAATCACAGGCACACAGGAATAACTTGACCAAGGTTACAAAGTTAGTGCGAGACCTGTAATTAAAAAATGTGATACTGGCATAGAGAGAAGCAAAAAAGACCAATGAAAACAGCACAAACAAAAAAGAATTGGATTCATGTATATGGGGAACTATGATATACACCAAAAGCATCATTATGAATTAGTGGGAAATGATCTAGCTAAGTATATGGGAAAAAAACAGAGCTTTACCTCACATATGCAGTCAGTTCTACTCTAATGCTTGTTTTGAAAACTTGAATATGTTAAACATGATTGGTATATTAGGGAACAATAACACAAATTTCAGTAAATGCTCAAGCACTACTTTAATTCACAAGCAGGGCCAGGACTAAGGTGAGGCAAGCGAGATGCCTAGGAACCCTAACAGGAAGCGCTTCCTTAAATTCTGCCCCCTAAGTGCCTAGCTTGCTTTACTGTAGTCCTAACTGAAACAAACACAAGGTGAATGTAGAAAACTACTCAGCTGTACTGAACCACACAGGAATGCACAAAACACACACACTTCAAACGTCATTTTATTTTTTTTTAAGAGGGGGAATGCAGAGGAAGAGGGAGAGAGAGAATCTTATGCAGGCTCTACACCAGCAGAGCCCAATGTGGGGCTCAATTTCATGACCCTGAGATCATGACCGGAGCCAAAATCAAGAGACGGATACTTAACTGACTGAGCCACTCAGGCACCCCCGACACTTCAAACATCTTCAAGCGTGTCATGAGCCACACTCCCACATCTGCTGTTACAACTTCTTGGCAGATTTAAGAAAACTTTCCTTCCACCACTTTGCAATAATTCAAGCTGCAACCCTTTAAATTGTACTTCTTTCTACAAGTTAACTTTATCCTTTTCAAAATAAAATGTCATATTTATTGTGGTAGTTATGTATTTCTTAACCATTTAACATATGTAAAACTGTGCTACCATTTTTATTATGTTTTTAATGTTTCTCTGACAAAATTTTTTTGAGTGCTGTGTCCCAACCCCATTTTTCCCATATGCCCTGTGTTTTTTATTGCATGATTTTGCATATAACATGGTGGTTTTTAGGAACACATGCTATGTTACAGCAGAACTGTACAAAAATAAGTTATACTTGGATTAAAAATGTAAATGTGAAAGTAAAAGTACAATTTTTTAAAAAAGATATGAGAAAATCCTCATTACCTTAGAATATACAAGAGTTAAGACAAAAAGGAAAAACCTTAAAGATAAAGACAGATAAACTTGCCAAGGTTAAAACGAAAGGCTACCATTCAACAAAGACACCACCAAGAGAGAAGATACAGACTAAATACATATACTCCAGGTAACTGACAAAGGATTAGAATACACGAAGAACTCCTTTAAGTTAATAAATTTAAAAAAAAATTTTTAATAGAAAAAAAAGCAATTCACAGAAGAAAAAATCAGAATGGCCTCCATACATATGAGAAGATGCTTAATCCCATTAGCAATGGGAAAAATACAAACACCATACCATATCGTCTCATGAAGCTGGTGAACATAAGCATGTGCACATATGTCAACAATATCAAGTTGTGGAAAAGATGTATAGTAATAGGAACTTGTATACTGCCAAAGGGGGAATAAACTAGAACCTTCACTTGGGATGGTAGTTTGGCAACATAATCTTTTAAGAATAAAGATGTACATACCATACAATCATTTATTGCCATTGCTAAGTTTTTACCCTACAGAAACTCTTGTATATATTTACAAAATTACAACTATAAGAATATATAGTGCAGCATAATTTGTAACAATGAAAAGGTGGAAAAAACCTAATATCCATTATTCATACCCAAAAATACTACACAGAAATTATAATGAGAAATACAACTACATGTGTTAAGGATAAATCTCAAAACTACAATGTTGAACAAAAAAAAATTGCAAAAGGACACATGTAATATAACATAAATATATAAAGATAACAGATGCACAGTTTAACTACAGA